CAGACGATCCGCTGCCGATACTGTGCCCACCGTAACCACGTCCATCATTGTATAGAAAGATTGTCAAACCGGGTGACAAATAATAGCTACACAGAATATCATAGTTTTGTTCAGCAGGAAAACATAGTTTTCTATTAATTCATCTGATCAGCATGCGACTTCTCCAAATAAACGGCTACGGTCCAGATTCCCCGCTCACTCACCTGTTCCGCTTGCGGTCCGGAACCATCGCAAGCGGGCCGGGACACAGCCGAACAAGACGGTAAAGAATACCAAGCCCGCAAGGGCGCCCAGCTTCACCTGTAACAGATATTCCATATTAAGTGGAAAATAAATCACTGCCAGCCATATACTTCATTAAAGCGCTTGACTTTCGACATTTCCCGGATTAAAGTGAAGCGGAAGTACATGATTTAAGATTCTAATTAAAGTGCGTGTAAGACATCCACGTTCGCAGTCTATGTGACGAGCTGGCAGTTCTAAGCTGTCGGAGATGCACGTTTTCGAGTGTCCGCAGGCGCCTGACTTCGGCGCATGTGACAGTGATTCAGAATTTCAGACGCACCGGCATCGGAAACGGCAAAGCGAAAATAAAAGCGCTCACACACAGGAGTCAGGACCGCGCACACACACACACGCTCGCAGAATACCCACATGCCGACTTAAAATGTTTCACGTGGAGATCGACGACTTTGTACAATATGTATGAAACTACAATAAATTTTAATGGTAACAAAATTTTCCCCTTTATTGAAATGATGGGAAATACACAAGTTTCCTACGCCAGGACCAATTAAACACATTGTATGACCGGAAACGGCGTACCGATAAGGGCAACTTGGATTACGTTACTGAAAGTCAACTATCTACGGTGAATATATAGGCCTAGCAATCAAGAACATAACTGATGAGTTTTCTAAATTACAATTAAAACAAGTTTTTTTTACAATTGTCAGCACACTCTTAATTAGGCCCACTGAAACAATTCCGGTAAATATAATCCTTTACTGCAGAAGTCAAACATTTCAACATTGTAATCTACTTTTTTAAATTGATTAAATATTTGACATGTCATGTTTGTTTTCCATGTCAGGTAAAAAAAAAAAAAAAAATTCGGCAAATTCAGTTAAGCAACAAAAACTGGCAAATTCAAAAATAAACACTCATACAAATGTTAGTACTAAGGAAAAATTTGCTTTAATTAGGAATTTAGTTGTATTTAATATAAATACAATGCAACCTTTTTTAAAAGATAAAAGAAATCAATGTACTTACAGCAAACAAATAAATATGCTTAAGGACAAGATTTTAAAATCTATACAACTCACTACATACTTTTATTTACAACATATAAACAGCTTCAAGAAGTAAAATGTATAAATAAATAGCACTGAAGAAGTAAAATGCATACTTGTTCACATCTTTCAAACACTTCTTTGGTTCTAGTGCATAAGACCAACAATGTACCGCACGATTATTTCTTGGCTATATTTGATTACTTCAAATGAAAGCAATTAGCCAGCAAGATTCCTCCTTTATTAGATACTGTCACCAGACTATCAGTGGAAAACAGGATTTAATAATCCAATAGGGCTGACGCTGGACATGCTCACAGCAGCCTCTTCCTGCTGTAGGTCCTCCTCGGAGCTGGCTTCTGCCTAACAAGGTTGGAAGGAGACACACCAGCACCACCTGCCAGGGGAAGCAGAGAAGCTTGGTGTGGGCGTGTTTATCTGCATTTTCATTTAATTTAAGCGGGGTGGGGGCTCTGAGGGACAAGAAGCCCTGCTGCTAATGCTCGGTGGGGGCACTGACCTCTGGGGCCCCGATCTTCAGAGCGGTAGAGCATTGGGGAATGAGTAAGAGCCAGAATGCCACTGGCCGTCACTGGCTTCCTGCCCTTGGAGCTGGGGGGGGTCACTACAGAGAGACAGGCAGCCAGTCACTACTCGCAAATGCACTGGATCAGTGTTAGGCAAAGGTTACAGTTGGCAGGCTACCAAACGTCAGCCCACTGTCCTCCAAAGCCATGTGGAAAGGCTGAAAAATGTTCACTGAAACCTACTCAACTGATGCTCTCAGAACTACATTTACATTTATTTATTCAATAGATGCTTTTGTCCAAATTGATTTACAAGTGAGACAAATAGATTACAAATGTACAGCTGTCAAAGTGTTAACTAAACCTAAATGTAGCTAGAGCTAAATAACCTAAAAAAAACCCACCACCACCATACCTGTAAGGACATGGTCCTCCTCTGTGAGCCATGGGCCTTTATCGCACACCAGTGACTCGGTGGCCCTGTTCTGGTCCACAGGTGGTACTCCACACTCCATGCCCTCCGCACAGATGGATTCTGCAGCACGTTTCCGCTTTAAAGCAGACCCAAGAGTCCAACCAGACGCCAGCATATCAGTTTCCACACAATCGTCCAGCTCTGGCAGACAGCCAATTCCATCCAGCTCCAGGTCCCCCATCTCCTCCAGCGGGTGACATCCGCCCTGGAGACGTGCCTCCTTGGCCCCAGCCAACCCAAGGCGTGCTCTTTTCTTGCGGGGCCAGCTGTTCAGGCCCTCGGGAGTGGAGCGTCCCCTACTTTGGGGTGACGGCGTCCAAGCCGTGGGGTCGCCCGCTGTCGAGGGCGATGGGGTCCCGGCAGGCTGCCTCGTGGGGGTGCAAGACTGGCATATGTAGGTCTGAACGCTGCCCTTCCCTGGGGTGCTCTTGGCGGGAGTTCCATGGGTACAGAAAGATGGTGAAGCATGCCCACCAACTTTGGAGTAACGATGGAGTGGGCTCTCAATTCTCTTTATTTGTGCCAGACTTTGGGACAGCCCCTTCAGGTCACCTTCAGTTACTACATCCCCTCCGCAGAGGGAGTCTGTCCGCCTGAACTTGAGCTTGGGCAGGCCAGAACCCTGCATTTCCAGCTCTACATGATAGGTGAGGATGTTGGGGTTGCAAGGACTCTGCGAGGAGCCTGGGCTAGAGAGCTGGGGCCCAGAGTCAGAACTTGCAAGTCTGGCTGCTGCTGCCCTCTGCTGACGATCTGGTGTGCTGCGGAACCCATAGTCCCTCCCTGGCACAGGTGTCGAGGACTTTGACGGTTTGGCCGCGAATGGGAACACTTCTCCTACCTTGGGGGGCTTCTTGGTGAAAGAGATATTCATCTTGATGCCGCTAGACAGTTGAGTTTTCACCACTGCGGCCTCCGAGATGTCAATGCTACTTTCGTCTTCAGTGGTAGCCAGACTGGCCTGGGACAGGTCAGTGGCACCATGCGACAGCTGTGAGGCATCTGGCTGCATTTTACAATCCAGATCTTCCTTTACACTGCTGGAGGTCACCATGCTGACTGGATCCCTAGACCCAGCATGCTGAATATCGTCAGGTGGAGTTAGACTGCCACAGGCCTGTGGGCTCATGTCCAGCTTGGCCCGGCTTCGGCATAACCTCCTGACCTTGGTCCTGTTTTTAAATGGAGATGGGGAGGTTCCCCCCAGGAGTGAAGCATCAGCAGGACAGCCTAACACAGTTTCACAGGCCTCTGGTGTGAAGTGCACCTTCCTGGGGGTAGTGTTGGTCCCCCGGGGGGTATTGTTAATCTTCCGGGGAGTCTGGCCCAACAGTGGCGATGGGGTACAGGTGACGTGACTTGCCCTAGAGCGTGTGAGTGCTTGGGTGGAAGAACCCAGACCCTTCTGAGGAGAACGCAGGGTGGGCATTGGTGGGGAGGAGTGAACAGGATAGCATAGTTTCTGAGGTGTTCCTGAGGACACTGACACATCTGTTCCAGTGGGGTTCAGTTTTCTCAACAGCCGTTCTGAAGACCTCAGCGGTGTGGATTTCTGAGGAGTTTTTTCCATGGTTTCAGGAGTGTTCAGTTTAGGGATGACTCTGGGAGAAGACTGGCCACCCCCCAAAATGAGCTTCTCAGGGGTCTTAAAGAGACCACACCTGCTCGGTTCCCCAGTCTTAGAGGGTGTTTTTGACAACCGCGGAGAACGTCGGGCAGAGACGCAAGGGGAATCCAGAACCTTCTGTGACTCACCTCTACCCCAAACTCTGACCTTGCGTGGTGACGGTGACCTGACAACACCGTGGACTGGCGTCCCAGACGAGCATCCCTGTGACGGGGAATCTAATGGCTGCTTCAAGGGCGTTCCGAAGTTCACGTGGGTAGGACTTTTTTTATGAGGGGGGGCTTGCACTGGTGGTCGAAATGGGCTCCCCCTCAGCACCATTCCAACCTCCCTCACAACAGACCCCTGCTCAGGGCTCCCCCCACAAAGGGTTCGAGGCCATCTTTCAGGTGTCGTGCCCCCGCTGGCGGACCTTCGCCGTTTACGGGGTGTCCGCCTGGGTGTCCTCTTGACATTCTACCAAAAAAATAAAAAAGCTTTGTTGAGTTGCCAAAACTTGGAGACCCTGTGAATCATGGGTCTCCAAACTTTTCTACAGTGAAAGCTATGCTTTGAATGGGGGTGCTGGCGGTAAAATTGCTACCCGGGAGGGATGGGGGTGGTATAACTCCTTGCCATCTAATTTTCCCCTCTAGAACAGCAGAATGACAGATTTCCAGGACAATGTGTATCATTCATATCATCCGCGTCAGGGAGACGCTGTCAATTTCACTCCCAGACCTTCCCGGGGGGGGGGGTCTGCATTGCTTTTGGTGTGTCAAATGTATAAAAATATATACTAATGCAAGTTAGCTAGTGACTTGACGTTGAACAGTGAAGCATGATAATCGAAGCAGCAGCGTGAAGGTGATGGTATGATGGCTATGATTGACTAGAAACGTTTGAAGGATGGACCTATCAGCCAGCTATTCCCTCTACTGCACAATACAGCATTACAGACCTTTACCTCAGACACATGCGAGTCGACCGTGCCTTGCTGGGGATCCTGGGAATTGGTCACGATGCCGTGTCTCAATGAACGGGCACGGCGAGGGGACTGGGCCTCTCCAAAGAGCAGCCGCATGGGGGACTGGATGGCCCCAACGCTGATACAGCCTGCAGACACAGTAACTCGGCATGATCACACAGGCCAAGAGCGCCCCGGCTAAAAACCACACAGCAGAGCCTCCGCTGGCTTCTCTGCCGTGCCGGTGCCCTATCCACCTGAGGTGTGGGGCTGGGAGGACGACAGCACCCGCTCAATGCTCCTGGAGCTGCTCTGGGAGCTGGAGTAGAAGGAATGTCTTCGGGTGAACGACAGGCTCTTAATCCTTGGACTCCTCCTGAGGTCTGTCACAGGAGAGCAGGGGACTTACTAGCATGCTTGGATGCGTTATATTTCTTCATTTTTAAAACATTTTTCATGACATACCACACTGGGGCTTGAGGGGAGACTCTTCCACTACACAGACATCCGATGGCTCAGACTTCCTGTGGGCAACCGCCAATCAGAAGTAAGGGGGAGGACCAATGACAGACATGAACACACGCTTCAGAACGGGATAGTTTGGGCAACCTCTACTGACAGCTGCTCATGAAAACCTATCGAAGATACCGACCTGCCAGCCAGCTGCCTTTGCAGAAGCCGGTTTGGCACCTGCTTGTGGAGTGGAGTCTCGGTCACCTTCCTGGTCAGCAGGGTGTGGCGATCTGAAATGGCAAGCCAAGCTGCAGTCATACAGCGCTGGGGGCCAGGCTCCTGACGGACCCCCGATAACCTGATTGCCTCTAGAGGATCCTTACCGGCTCCACCTTTTGACTGCAGCCGCTTGTGTTGAGAGTCCTCCACGGCCGACACGGATCGACTTCGAGGCAGCCTGCCTTTCTTTCGAGGGGAGGCCACTTCCTGATTGAACAGGTTTCTTCTGACCTTCGTAACTTCTACGGAGGAAGAGGAAACTGACTGACTGACAATGCCTCTAATGCAGCATTTCCCAGTTCGGTCATCAGGGACCTGAAGACAGTCCACATTTTTGCTCCCTCCCAGCTCCTGGAGTAAAAATGAGGAATGTTTGGCAGGGAGCTGGATGGGAGCAAAAACATAGACCATTCGCGGGTCTCCGAGGACCGGGCTGGGAAACACTGCTCTACTGGGAAAATGGGAACTATGCTCCTGGTTTACCTTGCACCACTTGCTTGGGAGGTTCCTCTGGGGCAGAGACGGTGTGGGGCTGGGGCTTGGCCTGCTGGGAGACGGGTACCCAACATGAGTAAGGCATGAGGCCACCGACAGAGTCAGGAGAGACTCAGGACTCGCTGGATCTCGCCCATTTCGATACCCACCACTCTGAGAGACTTCCGGGGCATCTCGATCTGGCGCGCACAGGGGACGGCGTCGCTCGTGCTCCGATGGCGGAGGAGCTTTCCGCTCCTGCGGGGACCGGACAGGAAGAGACAGGAAGGGTCAGAAATGCATGAGGAAACACATTCATGTGTCGGAGTTTCACGTGATGCGAGTCAGCAGCAGAACACAGAGGGCACATACTTCCTCTTCTTGGCAGAGCGCTCCCGCAGATCCTCTAGCCGCTGGCCGACGTCCGGAGACACATCCTGGGAGGCGGCCGACGACATGCTCTCCCGCACCAGGGACTCGTCGCTGAGGAAATCCGATGGCAGTGCAACGGTCAGAGCCTCGGGCAGCCGAGTGCCTAGGCTGTGATAGACGTCAGCCAAAGCCCTGGGGATGTCCGCGAGGTAGCTGGGGAAGACATGGCCTTCATTAGGGGAACATGGCGGTGGATGGGACCAGACATGTTTTAAGTGAAGAAGGGTCACATACACAGGAAGGACGTCATCTTCGAGGAACTTTGAGAGATAGATGGGGTCTTTCGTTAAGGAGATAATTCGAAGCATATCAGCCACCTTAAAGAGAAACACATCCGCTGCTGAATGCCCAAATGACCATAACAAAACAAAAGCACAAACACAGAGGTCTGGCCTTGCTTAAAAGGTACCAGGCAGCAGTTAGCTGATGAAAGGAAACTGACCTCAGAGTTCACCCAACACTCATCTCTAAACTGCAGTGCAGCAAGGCCAGCTGCCCTATTAAACCATGACACTTTATTCCCTATTGTATAACCATAAGCATAGGTATGCAGAAATTCATTAGTTTTCTTCCTATAAGATACACACAAATATACAGGAGAGCATGGGCACAAACTGCTAACAGACAGCCACACACCAGCCCCTGCACTGAATGGCATGAAACTAGTCTATGGGCTCTTTTAGATTTTGTTGGCTACATCACGTACACAGAACCACGGCCGACACACTCAAGCTGCTCAGGTTTCCAGCCCCCTATGGGCTTTGTTAGTAATCTTACCTCCTCCACAGTTTGGTCCAGGCTCTCATCCTCTGGAGCCAAACACTTACAAAGCTCCAGTCTCAGCACAGTCTGCAGCTGGCACCTGTGACAAAACGCCATCACTCAGACCGTCAGAGGCACAAACACGCACATCCCGTTAGGGTACGCGGAGATGAGAATGCAATCAGAGGCTAATGGGAGACGATGGCCTATCAGCTCAGCAAGGGGAGCAAGTGTCAGTGAAAATCATCATTACTCCACTCCAATTAACCTGATCTAGTATGCAAAAACGTGTTAAAGTCCTATTTATAGAGTAAAATAATTATTTGTAATTATAAAGAGTGCACCAGAGGCAGGACACACTATAAGCAACAGAGGACACCCACTCCCTGACTTTGCCGTCGGCGTCAGGGGTCGTCTCGTAGTGTTGCCTGATGGCTCTGCTGGCCTTCAACAGGTTCTTCTGGATGAAGAGTGAGGAACGCCCCTGCCGGTGTGCACGAGAGCATTACACAACAGGACACATCCACATCCATCAACCAGCATCTGTACCGCAACAGTCAGCTCACCTCGAGGTCCTGGGTCCCCTTCAGGAACATCTTCACGAGGCCAAAGAGACGATGGACCTCGGAGACTATGGGAAGGTCTAACTTACTCAGGGCTTCCTGGTAACTCAGTCTGAGATGGCTTAAAAGCTCCTCTTCACTACTGAAGTCTGAAAATGGAGATAAAAGGAGAAGTGTCAGGTGACAAGACTGACATTGATGGCTTCATGCAAGCCCTGAGACAGGGAACGCCTCTCTGTAACCATCTCCAGCAGACTGGAGCTGGACCTACTGGGAGCACTGGAGTGCGCCTTGGTCCTGTCTCCAGAACGCCTCTTCCTGTGCATTTCAGGACCCTTCTCGCTCCCCAAAGCCTCCTCTGCCTGGCTCTTCTGGGCCTTCACGTTGAGCCGCGCCACATTCAACATCTGCAGGGAGCGACTCATGGTCTTCATCATGGTCTTCATCTTCTGCCTCACTGGTGTGCGCTGGGCACCCCCTGTTACAGCAGAGAGGGCAAGTGAGCCGGCAGAAAGCAGTGAGGGGGCCGGACTCCCCAGCAAGGAATAACCTGCCAATCGTACATGCTTTTGTAGACAGTAGATTACAATACTGCAATACTGCAATGCTGTATTATCTGGGAGCACACACACCGCTGATTAAGTACTGTGCAGCATATACAAAATCCTGCAGCTGGAACGACACCATGAGGAGGAAGTTTGACACATAACCCCTGCTCTTAGTTCCCTACCATGGCTTCCTGTTAAGTTCAAAGCAAAAAAATCATATTGCAATCTTTATAAGTCACAATACATTAGAGGCATTGTCAGCCTGTTTCCGTAGATCTGAATTGCGATCTTTCTTCCCAATTTTAAAATGTACTGTCAAGAATATCCAGACTCAAGTCTACGGACTTATCTATTAGCACCATTTAAAGCACAATATTTCATTACAGACAGTTTTCAAAATGGTAATTAAATCCTGAGTTAAAATACTAAAAGTTATAACAATCAGTAAATAGGCAGGGATTACATAAGGACAGACGTCGAGCCTTTTTTGCACCAGCTACTCATCCACCAAGCCGATAGCTCACACTGAATTGTTTCTCAAATACGTCACAAATGCTGGTGCTGCTGTACATGACATCCTGGTCTACTGTGCTTGTCCATTAATGTGTTAATGTACGTTCTAATCCCTCATGTCTCTGCCTTCCACGTCTGGCTCCTATATAAATTCCTAAGTGACAGAGTCCGGCCTGTGGGGTGAGCAGCAAGGAGACCCCCCCCCCACACACTCACTTTTCTTTGCCCTCTGCTGGGCGGGAGCCCCGGCCGTGGTTCCCTGGTAGAGCTCTGACAGTGACTGGGTCAGATCCAGCTGGGTGCCAGCATCGTCACAGGACACCTTTGCTCCCTCAGGCACAGCGTGGAGGAGGCTAGAGGGGAGGAGTCTCTGTCACTGTCACAGACCGGGGACACTCGAAATGCGTCACTGCGGTGCAGTGGACCAGCAGACGCTCTACCTCATGGACTCCATTAGGTGGGAGCTGACACCCGCCCAATCAGAATAAGGAAACCAGGCTTCGACTAGCCCTGAAGAAAGCGGGCAGGACCGCTGGCTGAGCTCCTGCTGGGCCCAATCGGGAACACGGAGACCAGCAGCTGTAACTGGAGAGCACACCTGTCAGATGCACAGCTAGCAGGCTACCCACAAAGATCGAAGGGCAAGTCAAACCAGCGCCTCGTCACGATTAAACCATATCCAGTGACCTCTGAATGCCAGTTGTTTCTAAAACTACACGGAGAATCAAACTTATATAGTCCTGCTCTTCAGAATGGTTAGACAAATGCAAATAACTTTACAGCAAAATTGTTTTACGCAAAATCAGTGGAAGTGGTAGAATATTAATGATGTGGAAGATTAAACTGTTTATCAAGGTAAAACAAGATGCCTGGCATTCATTTTACACTGATTGCTTGTTAACTTACACTTAAGAGCTACTTTGTAAAACTTACCTGAAAAGAAACCAATGAGAGGTTCAATACGAAAAGATATCGAGTTATGACTGTATTTCTAACAATGTTTCCATGAGAAACTCTCACCAGCATGACCCGCCTCCTCATCGTCGTTCTCCATGATGTCATACACGACATTCAGAACGCTGCTGACAATGTCAGGCAGGTCGGAGGCAGGAGGGCCGCTTTCCGCAGACATGAGGCCCGAGGACAGACTGTCCTCCAAGTGGGCAGTCTGAGGCTGTATTAAAGTCAACAGGGCAGTGGAGGGTGACAGCGTGGACAGGACTGCAGTGTGGCCTATCCCTGCCTCGCTGACCTCAGCAAACTGGAAAACAGATTAGAATCAGAAATTCAGAATTAGAATTAGCATATGCTTATCTAGTGTAGACTGGCCAGAAAAAGATTTCAGGCAGTTGTTAAAAGCGGGAGTAAGATTATTAAAGTATGAGGCTTTGCCAGCCATATTAGGTGAAAGGATATGCTATCATTCATCCACAAGTTTACAGGATTAACTTTTGGTTGTCAATGGAAATAAAAATTGAGACTGACAGATGGTCCATGGCAAAATACACTTACTGTAGGCTAATGGGCGAACAGAAATTTTATCAAATACATTGGTGTCAACAGTGCTGACAAATGCAGTGTGATTACAGGGCTTTGTCTGGACGTTGGCTTCTCAGTACTATACGGTCGTTTACTTACAGCCACAATTTGGTAAGCAGATTAGTAGAACGCCTAAAATATAAATGCGCATGAGCAAAGATGATCATGGTTTAGATAACGGGTGTAAAAATTGGTTCAGGTTTAATAAACGGTCCTATGGGTTTATTAAACACAAGGATATGCTGAAATTATACAGACTTTTGGATGTCACAGTATACCAATCATTAATATTTTAATAAATGACGGGATAGTATCAAAAAGCCAGCACCGGAACCAATTTTTGCACCCGTTATCTAAACCCCAATGATCTTTGCTCATGCGCACTTAATGCAATAATATCATGCAATGATAATGTGCAACCTTACTAATAATGTGCATTCCTTTACCATACTTTAGCCATTTTTACAATGATTAAAGATTAATATCTACGCATTGTTACACAAGGATCCTGAAGCTTTCAGTACATAATGAAAGGTTTTACACATATTTTCTTTGAAATCTCATTTAATTTGCCTAATATGCTTCTGAGACAACTGAAAACTTTCTGCTCTGTATATATTTCTTATGGTACTGTATAACAGGGATGAGGAAACATTACCATGGGAAGAGTGTGGGCAGAGAGCTCCCTCAGAAGGTTCAGGAAAGATGCCCCATCCTGGCTGTCTCCCGCAGTGCCCTGCTGCCTCTGAAGCACCCAGCAGGATGAAGAACTGGCATGGCATAGCTCTGAGCTCCAGTCCCACAGGACACCCTTCAAGGTTATGATCACACCACTAGAGAACTGGTGCAGTCCGGCGGACACTGGCTCCATGGTAACACTGCATGTTTCTGGGCACATTTGTAAAGAAAACCACAAAAAACTACTACGTGAGAAAATATATGGATTCAAAATTTATTTCTTCACCAAGTCTGAGATTTTATAGGTTCCTCGACAAAGCAGCCTGCTCACCTTGCCCCCATTGAAGAAGGCCCTCCTGGACAGGGAAGGCCATGCGGAAACGTTGCTGGGAGGACAGGAGAAAGCCCAAGCCAGAATCAAAAGGAAAGGTACCGTTTGCCAGTACATGCCGGTGGGATGCTCCGGCCTTCGTGCCCAGCCTCCGCTCCGCACCAGTCCACACCTCTGAGCTGGACAGCAAGAGCAAAGCAGCCAAAGGCAGCACCCTGCCACCAACTTGGTCCAGTGCCGCAGAGAAAACATCGTAGCCACAGCAGTCTGTGGCACTCAGCGCCTAGACCGGGAGAGGTACAGCTGTCACATGACCTGGCATCATAAAGTGCCATATTTAATCTCCAAACACTTTTGGCTAAATTATTAAACACTCTCAAATATCCAAAACGACAGCTACTTTGTCAATAATGAAACCTCAGGGAAAGTGTGGCTTTCCCTCACCAGCCAAATTCAGTACACTGGATAAGGCAGGGGTGGGCAATCTAAGCTGCAAAGGGCCAGTGTGAATGCAGGTTTTTGGGATAACCTGTAGGTCAGCTGTTCAAACCCAGGTGTGAGGACTCTTCAGCCAATCAGTCCTCTAATTAGTCATCTAATTAGGGAGTTGCAGCAAAAAACCGCACTGGTCCTTTGCAGATAAGATTGCCCACCCCTGGCATATGGTGAAAGTCATCCAAGCTGCCACTTACAGGCGTTGTCATGTCAATCAAAGTTAGTAAACTGGTTAATACGGTGACAAATCTTACCTGAGAATAAGGACTGGAATCAATCCAGTGCAGGACAACTTGACTCTGGACCATCATGTCACGCAGACCCTTGGGCAGAATAAGCTCGGACAGCTCTCTGAAGGACTCGGCTTTACGATCGGGCTCGAAACCCTCCAGGTCACATTCAGACCGGGGACATTCCGAAATAACAAATAGCACATTTTTACTCCTGACGGACAGATCATCATCCAGGGAAATATTTTTACAGGATCGCTTCAACCGTGGTCGTAATGCCAACTTTGTCGGAGAAGTTATATCCGGCCTGTCCCATTGGAAGTCCAGCAAGGTCTCCTTCAAAGCCGTCTGGACGGATCCAGCCCAGTGCGGGTATCCCCTGGTATCCCGGGACGTGTTACTCCTGTCGCTCCCCGCTAGCTTATTCTCTACCTCCACCTCAAACTCTTCAAACGCCTTGTCTCTGAGCTCCTTAAAATCGGAGCCCCTGGACACGTTGACGCCTCGCCCACCCAGCGAGTGGAAGAACTTGTAGCCCCACCGAACCTTGTCAAACCCGAACCTGCTGCCGAGGTAAATCAGAAGCCTTAGCACTCCGTGCTGCAAAAGGCGCTGCTTGACATGGCCGAGGTCCGGCCCAGAGCCTTGGCCCAACCGGTTAACATCGATTGCAAACACGACATTATGGGAAACCATGGCTGGCGAGCCAACTAATGATGACGCAGGAGCATTGAAGTGACCAGCTAAACGCCGCGATCTTTAGGTATATCCCGGCGGCTGATCGGAAACTTACATCTAGCTGAATAGCCGAGTAACGATAATTAATCTTGCATAACGTCAGTAGCTTCCTTAAAACTTTGTTGAATGACTAGCGAATGGCCGACTGCGACGCGCAGTTCTATATCTCTATATTTTACACATAGTTAATAAGATATTCTGTAATTAAAATGCTTCGCAATTGTTTTCTACCGCCTTTATACTTTATTTCTCTTTCGCCATCTTGCTCGCCTCTTCCTTCAAACTCTTCGCGCTCCTCACATAATTCGGTAAAGTCTCTTTGCTGCGATTGGCTGTCATCTGCAAGACCGAACATGCCCATTCGTCAAATGCAACGCGATGGCAAAAAAGGTGGTCTTCTTTGTGTTCTGCTCTGTGATTGGACCGACAGAGCTCCACCGATGTCGTGGTAGGTACAGCTTTGGCAGCAATGCAATAGTACTATTGGCCGGTGAATATTGATTGACATATATTCCCAACGTTTAAAATTTAAAGCGATTCAGCGGGGCGCGTGTCTGTTATAGGGCTGTAGAAGGCGATTTGAATATAGCTGTTCGCGTATTTTTAACGCATATGGTTTTTCTGTTTTGCACAAAGGGAGTAGGTATAGTAGTTTTTTTTGCTTGTAAGACAACAAACGTTTGGAAATCGTAATACATTATTTCAAACACTAGAACTACTCCGGTATGTAATAAATATAAATATATAAATATATATATCTCATTATACCCTAGATGGCAGTGTTATCTCTTGTGGGCAAAACATCCAAATCGTTTCCACCATACGTTTTCTTGATTTACCCAGACCATTTTAAAGCTTCCTCTGAAGCGCCACGAATTCTAAACTCATTTAACCATTGGTTCTTAATGATGTAGATTTTATGACATAAATGGTAGTTTGTATGATAAAATCAAGCAATTAATTTAAATAATATTTCATATGATTTGTTACCTTTAATTTCATGCAATTGTCTGTTTACATTTATTATTATTTTTTTAGCAGATGCTTTTATCCAAAGCAACATACATTTTTGAGAAAGCAGGGTTGGGCTGTTCCTGGAGCCCTTGGGGTTAAGGACCTTGCTGAAGAGCCCAGCCATGAAATCATTCTGCCAACCCTGGGATTCAAACCAGCAACCGTCTGCTCACAGGCATAACCTCCTAACGTGCTGAGCCACAACCCACCCCCCACCTGTCTTTGCACGTCTAAATAATTATTTAATTGCTTGTTTTTAGATACAAAAACCCGAAACATTCCTCTGGATTAATGTATAACTCAAATTTTAGTCGCTGCTTATTTGAGGCACATTTTGTAGAACAATGATCCTCTATCCTAGTCTCGCTGAGGATGTGACAAGGAACTTGGCTATATTATTATGCATAAAAATCACACTGTTTAACAGTTGAGAATGACGAAAAGGTGCACATAGTACACTCCGCAAGAAGAACGATTAAAACGATTGCTATACAGAGATGCTGTGCCCTTTTTCAAATGATCCTGTTACAGTCTAGATGGACATACAGTACCAGTGTAAAGTCTGAGTGTATTCGCACCATGGCACATTATACGTTGTACATATGTCTGTTGTACATAGCGTCCATTATAACTACTTTCCCTTTGACATCTTTTAAAGCCATTAGACGCTTGCATTATATAACCACACAACCAAGTATTTTTCTCCTAATATTACTGTGAATATTGTATGCACGAGCAATTTAAACCTTTCTTAGTTGGCTGCCTTTCTCTGTTTCTCTAAAGTCAATCATTTGTAGAATTGTATTTTGACTATTATTATTTGCTAAAAAGAATTACTCTTGCTGCGCCCTGTAGGTGGCGCCAGAGCTCCGGCAGTAACGGGCTGGTGGGGCGGCGTGCCCCGATCTGTTTTGTTCTCCCACTTACTCTCGCTCTCTATGACGTGTTTCCTGGTCTTGCAGGCAGCTTTGCTGAGCTGGTTGACAGGGGATGGAAGGGATTCTTATTGTTTTATTGCCTTGCGTACGACTGATCCCCTTAATTCGCCTTGTTATTTTTAGGGAAGATATGTCACATTAATAACGGGCTTCTTCATTGTTGGAGGCAATGCACTAGTGTGTCTAATTACGTCGTTAATTATAAAGGATATAGGGCGGCTAGTGCACTGGAAAGTTTTCTCATTTTTATGGTGATCCATGAGTATGTGGGGTGCTGTAAAGTAACAGTCAATGCTCCTCGTAAGGGACCAAATGATCAGAAATACTGCAGAGATGCTGCCTTTCCCGGCTCTGTGGCCGTAGCCGCCGATCACATTCCCCGTGCCAGCGCCGGCAGAGGAGGACCTGCAGCCAGTGCTTCAGCTGAAACGTGACGCTATCCGCGCAGCCGGCTGCTTGCTGATAAGGGCTCTTGGGCTGCGTGTTTTTAAGTCATACTGCGGCTGGGGCTGCCGTTTCGCCGGGGAGGAGGTCGATGGGTCAGGATAGTCTACATCGACGAGGGGCAACCGTGATCTGCACCTAAGGAAACCCCAAAAGAAAGAATTAAATGATGCTCTGCCCAGCCGATCAAACGGAGACGATTTATTCAAAGTAGCGAAACGAGGCACCAAGGATCCGAAGATCGGGCAAGAAACGAGCGCAGAACCGCAGATATAATCGCGGAGCGGACGGCGACGTGGGGGGGCTGGTAAGGTACTCGCCACGCTGTGCTTTCTGCCGTACTGATGTATGACTAAGACGATCTGTCAGATAGTACGATTTTCTGACTGTAACTGGGTTATCAGGTCTACCGCGGTGCTGGGGTGCGATCCCAGCCCCCCAACTAACTTTATTCGGGAAGTTGTTTTGCCCCCCAGTTAAGATACCGGTGTCCGCTGGCTCCGCTGTACATGAGCTGCTTACTGGTTAGTTGCTTTTAACCCGTCAGATAAGCTGGCCGTCTAACATTGCTGCTTATTCATTGCCGAAGTTAGGTAAGTTTTAAGTTGGTTTGAGAGACTTTTCCAAACGATGTCACTTAATATTTACTGTACTTGTGATAAACGTGTGACCAAAGTGCACAAGTGGGACTCGGGAGTCATATCTAAACTGTTCTTCACCGTATTTTCTACTATATTTCGAGCAATTGCAGCCTTTCGGAATTACTGTTCCTTTTCTGTATATGTTTTTGTTTGTGCGAGAGGATTGCATTTGTTTTGCGAGTCTGCTTCTTTTTTTAATGGCCTGTAAATACCTGGCACCTTATAAACGCACATATTCAGATTCATAATAGATATATTATGTACGTATTGTATTTTGTCTATAACGCTAATACTCTTTCAGTCAACACTAAGTGAAATTTTTTCATGACCATCGATTTCTTCCAGTACTTTGTAGTAGTACTGGGCAGAATTATTAGGCTACTTTGAACGCTTGCTGTATTATATGATGTACGCTGTATCATAGTATATCATAATAAAACAGCCCTTTCGATTTTGTTTCTGGGTTGCATGTGGCATTATATTTCAAACGGGTCTGTTTCATTCCGACCTTTGTTTTAACTCAGAAGTAATACTGGCCTCTGTGATTCATATATTTCGTAGGCCCCCTAATTACATTTAATATTTAGTTTTTCCATAGCTTTTACACGTGTGACCAAACTCGAAGTCTGTAAAATGCTGCGTGAAAATATTTTCTGAAAGTAGGTTTCAAGTCAGCCCATCTCCTGCTTTTCTTTGTGAAGCCCCGTTACTTATTTTATTTTTGTCTCGGATCATACACGCTTGGGGTCGTCACTCGATATCTATTTATAATATTGGCAATCCAGTAGCAAAACCATTTTTCGTTTTTAAGTTATGACGTGCATTGACTTAGTGGTGCAGCTCGACTCGGGCGGTCCTGGTGCAGACGAGGCCGGTATCAGACGCACAGAGCCCGGGGAGCCTCACGACCCGACGTGGACGCCTCGGTTCCTCGGTAGCAGTATCACAGCCGCTGGCACCAGGCGTAATGAGCGGGAGGTGCTCGCGTTTTCACTTGCGGCCTCGAGCTCTGGCGGAGTTCCGGTGGAACGCCCCCCCTCCCCCCCATTATCATACACTGCACCCCCAATACCGAAAAACAACGTTTCGTCTTCTGCTGCTCCTTAGGTAAAAAATGAAAAAGTGATGATATAAAAATAGGAGAAAACCAGGTCTAACATGTCGTCTTGTCCCAGGATTTGTAACTTCAAGATATTTATATAGAATCTGTATACTTTCACAGAAATGCAATTTATTCTTAGAACCTTAATCTGTGTGGAGAAGAATATTGTTATATCTCATGTTATTTCTTCACTGTAAGGAAGGCCGTTTTTAATCTAAAAACATCCGCTGTGCTACTGCTGCTTCTTCTTTTTAAAAAACATTCTTTAATTATGCATGTCACCATTAAAAACAGCGGGCAGGCGTTAATGACTGTGGCCATACCGTGAAGCTGCTGTAGATTTGTTGCACTTGGGTCGATTTTAATTCCCTTGTTGAACGTGACAGTCGCGCGCACCTTTCCCCTTCGCGAGGTAGGTCTCTGTGCGCCTTTCAGCCGGTATGCAGACCCACCGCTGACCCTAAACGGATACCAAACCTGTTTAAACTATAACCGACCTTGTATTCCCCTTGTTGGGCGTTCCACTTCTGTAGTCCCAGCTTTGCACACGTTACTTTCGGCAGTTTACTTCTTGTTCCCAGTAATTTAAAAATGTCAAACGGCGGAGTATAATATAGGGATGATACGCTTTTATCAGCCCCGGAGATCGATCGGTTCTCCCCTAGCTGTCTGAAACAGTGCTGAGGCATATTATAAATTTATTTTCGCCAGTGATGGGTTATGTGATTTGCATAGAAGAGCAGCGGAATGCTGAACAGAGCCCAGGCAAAGAGGACTGTAATGACTGGACTGGTACAGGCTTATGAATGGTCTGCATGACAAGCCAAAGCCTTTCGGCGATCCACTGTGAATATGTCAGGTGTGTAGGTGGACCGGAGGCCCTGGTCCTTTTCATGTGCGTTAACCCTCTTAAGTGACTTCAGATATCTATTAATGTGGTGAGGATCCACAAATATGCCAGTTCATTCAGATGCTTCAGTAATTTAAAAAAATGTGGCACACTGTTATTTAGCAGATGTTTTATCTGAAGTGAAATGCGTTTCTTGTCAGAAGGCTGTAAAGCAATTCCAGCTGGAGGTTAAAGGCCTTGCTCAGGGGCTCAGTCACTGAAATTCTGTCAAGCCTGGGATTTGAACCAGCAACCTTCTGATCACAGGCATAGCATCCTAACCTGCTGTATGAAATGTTTGATGTGCCTTAGAGTAATAGGATTGGTCACGAAGGTGTTCATAAAAAGAAATGACAAAGCATTTAAAAATAATCTAATACAATAGACTAGCATACTCTGAAAAACCCATTCAAACTTGGTGCAAATAAACA